ATTTGTGGGGTGGAGGGTGGAAGAGGACAAGGTTTAGAGCATTTATGCTGCTCTTGCTTTCTCTCTCTTGAAATTGCTTCTGGTTATTTCCTCCTTACCTAGTTCCCTGGGGTTAGGAAAGGACCCTGACGGGGGAGCATTGCTGCTGGAAATGAAACTCACCATTAGTGGCAGCTTCTACTTTGCAGCAGGTGACTTCCCTCGTGTACGCTTCAGCACCCTCTGCACCCTCATCCCCATTTTCAGAAAAGTATAGAAGCATTTCATATGTAAATAAAATTAAAAACCTAACACTACTCTCCAACCCCAGTGTGAATAAGTTCAACAGAAACTATTCAAATTCATAGTAATTATCATTGTGCAGTTCAATGGTTTCACCTTAAAAATATTGAATATATGTAGTTACAAGTAGGATGGAATCAGTTCAATATTAATAAAAAGCCCAATGTGTTTACTTAGTAGGAATTCTGTTGTGTTTTTAATCATGTTTTTTTCCCCTGTATACTTACAAATTCCCACTTAATTTTAACCTATTAGCACCATTATGGAAATAGATTTTTCTCTACTCTCACAGAATTGCTTATAATCCTTCACACTAGGGCAGAAGACCCAGGGGGAAGGAGAGGGAGTATTTAAAAGAAATAAAATATTATGCAAGATGGGAAGAAGTTTTACTTTGGGGAGCCTGTGGGACTATTCCTTTAAGCAGACCTAGTTATTACTGGAATTTTTTTGACTCTGGGTTAATCACCTGCAGTTACTGCCATCTAGGCAATCCCCAGTTCTAAATTAATGACTGGGTTTGCAGAGGGAGTAGAGAGAGAGTCCTGAATATACACTGAATGGAGCTGCATGCCCTGAGGAATAGTCTGAGGAAATATTCCACTGGAGAGTATAGTATCTGTATTGAATTTGTTTTTACTACAGTTATTCTGTTTATGTAGTTTTTATACTGCTTTTGTTGTGTTCAGTGATCTCCTTGGACTGCCACAACTCTACCAAAATAGGTCGGGCAGTCACACTGATGGTGGTGCAAAGGCCCTGAGATTAGCACTTCTTCCAAGGTGTAAATTTAGAATTAACCCTTGGAGAGAATAGTTTTTTCCTGTTATTTAAACACTACTATATTTCAGCAGGGCTTACTAAAATGGAATGTGATTACCAAGGACCTTAATGCTCTTGCTTTTTCTGTTGAGCTTGGAGATAAGAATTTCCACAGCAATAAAGTAGGAGGTATTTTCCTTAGGAGCAAGAAAGTACTTTCCCACCACTTTCTTTATGCATCACTTTTTTACTCAAAAGTGGCAGTGTGGCCCCTGCGTTGATAAGTAACTATTAGGTTCACATCTATTATCAGACAGTAGGTGAAAATGAAAAATACTGTATTATGAAAAATGTATTTCACAATATTCTAACAGATGCTGCTAGTATAATAGCCTAATGTAACAAATGCACCAAATGTGCTCAAGCATGTTTTTGACACTATTTTCATAAGTGATGATATATCCGAATTGAAACTTAGTAAAATTATGATTTCTTCTCCAACTGTCATGAAAACATACCAAACTATGTGTTTTGTGTACCCATGATTTAGGAATATAAGATGAATATTTCTTTTGGCTTTCCACTCTGTAGTTTAGAGTTAGATTTGAAAATATGAGCCTTTGTCTTTCTGAATGTTAGTCCAATGAGTTCATTCAGTTCCCAGTTACTTATATAGCCAATGGCAGATTTACACTTGAAGATTTGGATAAAACATTTTTATATTTTTAAATTACATTTTTATAGGAAATAGTGTTATAGTCTTTTTTTTTTTAACTCACAGTGAATCCCTTTAGGAATCTTCAAAGTCCTAAAAATTTATCTTTATCATTGTATGTTAACTTGTGTATATTGTGACCTTGCATTATGTAATTCTTTTCTTAAACCTTTTTTCTTGTGAAAGCCAACACACGTTAGAAAAATGTAAAAAAACAGAAACATACAACCCATTTATTTATCACAAAGCAAAACCCACGTAACTCTGTCTAGGGCAAGAAATAAAACATTGCTAGTATCCCCAGAAACCTTCTTCATCATGCCCTTCCTATTCCTTCTCTCTCCACCCCCAGAGTTAACCACAATTTTGATTTTTATGTTAATCACTTTTCTTGCTTTTCTTTATATTTTTCCACCTAGTCATGCATCTGGAACACAATGGTTTAGCTTTGCCTGGCTAGTTTGTTTTGTTTTTGTTACTTTACATAAATGGAATTGTGCAGCTAGGTATCCTGTTGGGTCCAGCTTTTTTCACTCAAAGTCACATCTGTAAATGCAGTTATAATCACTCTTCACTGATGTATAGTATGTTGTTGTATGAACTCACCACAAATTATCTATTCTACCGTTTGAGTCCAGCATGAATAATTCTGCTGTGGACATTCTTTCATATATCTCTTGATAAACTTTGCACACATTTCTGATGGATATATATGTTAGAGAAGAGTTGCCAGATCGTAAGGCATGTGTGTCTTTTTAGCATGTTTAAAAGAGGCATCGCCTTATGCTCCCACCAGAGGAAGCTGAGGGTTCCTAGTGCTCTGTGTCCTCTCTGCACTAGCTATGCTTCCAGCCCACGTTTGCTGTGTGGTGTTACCTCCTGGTTTTGATTTCCCATCCCCTGATTACTAATGAAGACCAGCAAGTACAAAGAAACCTGTTGAAAATGTTTTATTGAAATTGAATTTAATCTATAGATCGATTTGGAGAAAATGTTACAAAATTGAGCTTTCTAATACATTAACGTAGTTTATTTATATAGCACTTCTCAGTTTCAGTAATATTCATAGTTTTCTGTATGTAGTCCTTACATATCATTTGTTACATTTATTCCTAGATATTTTATATATTTATACAATAAATTGCTATTTTTAATAAATTTTATTTTCAGATTTGGTGCTGATATATAGCAATAGATGGATTTTTAAATTTTACCATTGTATGCAACTACAATTTATCTGTAGATTTGTTTAGATTTCCTATGTACATAATTATATAATCTGCACATAAGGACAGTTTTATCTACTTCCCTTCCAAATAATTATAATTTTACTTCATTTTATTGCCTTTAGTAAGGCTAGGACCTTTACTGGCTGGTATCTCCACCACAGTGTTGACTAGAGAAGGTGATAGTTGGCAATTTCAAAGGGGAAACATTAAAAATTTTTCAATAGAAAAAAATGTACTTTGCTGGATTTGGTTTGCTGATAGTTTGTGGGGGGGTTGAATTTAGGTTCATGAACGAGAAAATCCTGTAATTTTTCTTTTTTATAATGTCTTTGTTAGGTTTTGGTTTTAATGTTTTGCTAGATTCTTAAAGGAAGTTGAGAAGTGTTTCCTCTTTCTCTACTATCTGGAAGAATTTGTGTAAAACTAGCATATTAATTAGAATTCACTAGTGAAGACATCTGGGCTAAAGTTTTTTGTTTTTGTTTTGTTTTATTTTAGAAAGGTTTTCCATTACAAATTAAATTTCTTCAGTAACACCGTTCAGATATTCTACTTTTTTATGCCTCTTTTGGTGAGTTATAATTTTCTAGGAATAAGTTCATTCCTCCAAATTTCAGATTTGCTGGAAGAAAGTTGTTCGTTCTCTCCTCTTATCTTTTTAGGGTCTGTAGAATATGTAGTGATGTCTCCTTTTTCATTCCTGATAATTGTTGGTTTTACCTTCTGTCTATTTTTCTTAATTCAACTCTTTAGAAGTTTATCCATTTTTATTAGTCTTTTCAAATAGCTTATTTTCATTATCATTTAGTTACCCGTGGGTTGTTTAGAAGTGTATCCTTCATTCATTTCCAAACATATGAGGATTTTATTCTTCTCTAGAAAATAGTTTGGGTTTCTAGTGAATAAAAAAATTATGAATAATTCTTATCATATGAAATTATTTGCTTTATCTTTATAAAAATTCTACTATGTGCTTGAGAAAATGTACATTCTGTAGTTTCGGGGGATGGTGTTCTTCATATGACCATTAGGTCAGTTTTGCTTATTGTGATATTCAAATCTTCTGCATCCTTACTGTATTTACTTGTCTGCTCACTTTGTCAGCTACTAAGAAAAGTGTTCTCTTGTCCCCTTTAATAGCAGATTTCTCCATATCTCTTTCTACTTCTGGCGATTTTTGCTTTCTGTATTTTGAGCCCATGTTATTAATGCAAACTTGGAATTATTTTATCTTCCCGGTGAATTGGATGCTTTATCGTGATTAAGTACACTTCATCTTTAGTAATGGTTATTGCCTTAAAGCCAACCCTGACTGATACATTAGTAGCTAGTTCAGTTTTTTTTATTTGCATGGTAGATTTTTTCTATCCTTTTCAACTTTTCTGTATCTCTGTGTTTTAGATGTTGGCTCGTAAATAGCAAATCATTTTGTTTTGTTTATTTAATCAAAATGTGTCAGTCTTTTAAGGTCACTAAGTTTTTAAACAATTTTTCACACTCAGAAAATAGTTTATTGGGGCCGACCCCGTGGCTCACTCAGGAGAGTGCGGTGCTGGGAGCACCGCGGCCGCAGGTTCGGATCCTACATAGGGATGGCCGGTGCACTCACTGGCTGAGCACGGTGCAGGCGACACCAAGCCGAGGGCTACGATCCCCTTACTGGTCACACACACACACAAAAAAAAAAAAAGAAAAGAAAAGAAAAAAAAATAGTTTTTTAACACCTGTAAGTTTATGAAATTTATCTTCTCTGATTCGTATATAAATACATATACAGGGATTTATTTAATGTCATCTCCTATTACTTCTTTGACTCCTTTGTAATAAAAAGTGATCTAGGGACTAAAATATGCTAAGGACAATATTTCTAATCCGATATTTGGGGAATTTGGTTTGCAACTCTTGTCTTTATTGTGTTTTATGTACCTAATTCCAGTACACATGGCATTAACAATATATTGATAATATATCTTTTTTGCAAAATACTATAAAAATTTCATTTTTGATTACAGGGCTGCGACTCCCAAATGAGCATGTCAGAAATGTCCTGTAGTGAAAGTACATCCTCATGTCAGTCTCTTGAACACGGCTCAGTTCCGGAAATTCTCATTGGCCTGCTTTATAATGCCACAACTGGAAGACTATCAGCAGAAGTGATAAAAGGCAGCCACTTCAAAAACTTGGCAGCAAACAGACCACCCAGTGAGTGAAAAAAAAAAAAAAAATTTAATTCTAATGTTTTCTGCACTTATGGGACTCTTAGTGTTAGGGGCATCAAGCCTATCATTTAGTCTTAACCAATCAAAATGAGATGTTGTAGTCATCAGCTAATCCGTTTCATGTTTTCTATTTCCAGTCACTTGGGAAGTAGAAAAATTTGAAATTCAAAATATTAATTGCAAGGTGACAGAACTTTTAACTTTTCATATTATCTGCAGAATAAATTATCCCTATCACAGCCATTATCTTTTAATACCAGAAAAAGTTAACAGGGTTTTAAAAAGTGAATGATATGCAAAAATATGAACAGGAATGTGTATAGCTATCATTGTACCTGAAGGTGAATGTTGTGTTTTCTGTCTGCATGCAGTACTAGGAACTACTGTATTTACTTCTATATTTTCCCTTTTTTCTCCCTTAACAATTTATGAAGAAACTTTCTTCATATTTTTTCTCCTTTAAAATTATGAGCCAATCCTGCCAGCAGAGTCTTTTCTTAAATGAAATGGGCTTTGCTTTTACCAGGACAAACAGATTGCTATTTACTGCAGGTGCTAGAAGGGAAAGCTGGACGCGTGCCTCTGCTGTGTGCTGTCCAGACGCCTGACCCTCCTCCTCCTGGTCTCGCTCCCAGCTCGAGGAGTGAGGGTAGGTTATGGGAAGACAGAGAAGCTGACACCAAGTATACCTCCAGAACTGTTTGTTGATATCTGTGAAGGGTAAACTGGGAAGGTAGCACCTTCTTTATTCTTCTCCAGAATTAAAGCCATTAATGCCCTCAACTAAACACTTGAAAGGAAATCTTGAAAAATAACACCGCCTTAAATTTGCTTAAAGCTTTTCTCACAGACATGTTTAATGCAGTCTTTTACTCCAAGTATCAAGTAATTATTAAAGGAGAGGAAACTTTTTCTACCCTTGAATTAAATTAACTTACTAAGCATCATAAAAATTTTGTATTCAATGCAGGTGAAAAGTCATGAAAATATATTTGGTTTGTCCCAGTAATATCGGAAAGTTTGCTTTTTGCACATATCATGGAATGTATCTATCCCTGAATTAAAAGTCTGTGGGCTAAACATATTTTTAAAAAGAGAAAATAAAAAGAAATAAATAAAAGTCTGGGGGCTAAAATTACGTATTTATTTATACCCTGGGAAAAATGACCTAATTCCCTTACGTCTGTTTTTTTATAGGTAAAATTAAGGTTGTGTCTCTCACAGGGTAATTGTGAGACTCAAATTAGATAAAGGTGCTTAAAAGAAGGATGGAATTATTTTCCACGTTCTCATTTCAGAAGCAAAAGTTCAGTGGGTGGAAAGAAGCAGTAACTAGAATTAGCAGATTTGGAAGTGTGACTTGATATCTTCATCAATACACACTTAAAATGCACACTGAATGGCCTGGAAGGTAATGCAAATGAGTAGAAACTGTAAAAGAGAGGGGACATGGCGAGGCCGGGACAAATGCAGGAGTGCACACCTGCCTTGACACACTCAGAGTCAGCAATGTTTTTACACTGTGCCAGATAAACAAAATATCATTCAGGGTCTCATTGACCCACAAGCTGAGGCCGGGACAAATGTAGGAGTGCACACAATGTTTTTACACTGTGCCAGATAAACAAAATATCATTCAGGGTCTCATTGACCCACAAGCTATCAGTTTGTCACTAATGCTTTAGCTAATAGTTTAATAAATTTCTTGATAAATATTTAACTGGAGATGCTAAAAAGTAGCAGAATGAGATGATATGTTTGCCTTTTTATCCCTGTAGCCACTCTGATAGAAACAGAGAAACACGAATCAGGACTCAAATGAAGTGGAGAGGGGGGGACCGGGTTGGATAACAAACAGGTCAAGAAAGATTAGCACCCACAACATAAGAGCCAATCTTTCAGGTCAAAGAATAGGTTATAACAATTGCCATTATTTTAGAATAAGACCTTCAGTATAAGATAATTAATGGTGTTAGCTGAGAGGTAACTAGTTAAGTAAATATAAATGAACATTAAAAATAATTACATGGTAATGGAGTATTTATAAAGTAAAACATAAGAGAATTTTATCAGTTTGTTCTAAACTGTATATATTTATATAAGATTGTAGCCCTTCATATATATCTAGGTTCTGAGCTTTGAACTATGTTGTAGACTGAATAATTCCAGTTTTATCCAAAGAAACTAGCAACATTCAAGAGAAAAAATTTTGATTATCCTATTTTATTTTGTGTAACTTCATTTTATGTTACATTGGGAGTAATAAAAGTATTTCAAATACTAAATATAGCATGGATAAACTTAAAATTTAGCATAGTAATATATGACTAATATGTCGATCCTATAATGACTTTTATTCAGTCTTTTATAGTCTGATAATTTGCATGGTTTTATGTTCAATGTGCCTTAGACCAAGAGGATATCATTATAAAGATGTCCCCCTTTAAAACAGTGTAATTTTTGTTTAAGATTACACAGTGACCTTAAAAATTCTCATCCCGTGAAATTTACCCAACAGTCCTTTTGTTCAACCCTCTACCTGAATTAAAATGCTAAAGTTTTGTGTTCTTCCCCTTCAGTGAACAGTGTTTCCTCTTTAATTCTAACCTTTGACCCTCTTTCACCCAACAATTGACATCTGGTCATTATTTCTTTTACTGCTTTCCACCCCCTGTTGTCAGATGGACTGTTCTGTTGTCTAAAACACTTGATAGGTGGACAGGTTTATATAATCCGAGGTGAGTTCCTGTAGAGGCTAATTGGATGTTGTCTTTTCATGCAAAAACAAAATACCCTAAAACTTGCCAGCAGTGAAGCTGTCCACCATGTTGGTTTCCGAAAAAATGCACATTTTTTATCTGTGGTACTTTAAATAAAACTAACTTAGAATTTATCTCTGATTATGGATGATGGTATTGAGAGTATCTATAAAATAAGTAAAACTTATTAAAATAAATGTTTTTATTTTTTTATTCACTTGTATTTTGATTCATACAATAGAAATAGCTATTTCATGAGAAATATTGCAATTTTCTTTAAAATTAATTAAAATTTTCATATGAAGTACACATGATGGATCAACATGCTGAATGTCATTTGCATGAGTCTAAAAAACTTGAAAACACAGTCTTTTAAAGAGAGGATTTATCTCCCAAATAATCAGGCAACAACTTTATGTTTCACTTTGTATTCTAAACATCACATCAATTTTTTTTATAATTCATGAAAGTAGTTAAGATATTATATTTAAAATTTTACATTAAATTGTGCCAAGACAAAATCCTATAGTGTTTATTTTAACTACTCCCCCCGCCCCAAAAAAAGCACATTAAACGTACTGTTGCATGAAACCAGGAGAAAGTTTTACTTGGTTTGCTAAACTTTGAACCGTTAATGCATTTGGCTTCATTCTGGCCCTTAAATGTTTTTAAAATATATTTAAAAACCACATCCATGCAGAGATTTTTTTGACATTTCATCCTGAGCTGTTTTGATGTCATCTTTGCATTCTTGTCTCCTCTTTTTCTCTTCACCATTTGCCTTCATTTCTATTTGTTTGTTTATTCTTATTCTCTGAAAACACAGTGGAATGCTTTACAGTGTTGTGGCTAACTGAGCTTGCTAAGTGTTTCTTAATGCTATGACGTCCTGCTTAGTAAAGCTTAAATGGGGATGGTCGTGGGCAGGGGTGGTAGAGGGAGGTCAAGGGTTTGGGTGGGGGTGAGGAAGGATTATGAGGTATACCTTTAAATTCTAACTGTTGCATAGAAATAGTGAGGCTAAGATATCATTACCCCCAAAATATTTTCAGCCCACTTAGCATTCTCTGTACTTGTCACATTTTATAAACATCTATGTCAAAATGGAATTGGTTGAATTTCCATTAAACAATGGTATACACCATATCCTTATAAAGTGTAAAGACTTAATCTTCTCAGCCTATATTACAAGAAAATTGTTTGGAGTTCATTTCAAATGATATTCGTGATATGTTACTGTTTTTTTCTTTAGATACTTATGTTAAGTTAACCCTACTGAATTCCATGGGCCAAGAGATGTCCAAATGCAAGACATCCATCCGCAGAGGGCAGCCAAATCCAGTATACAAGGAAACTTTTGTTTTTCAAGTGGCCCTGTTTCAACTTTCTGATGTGACACTCATACTATCTGTGTATCACAAACGTAGCATGAAAAGAAAAGAGATGATAGGCTGGATTTCTTTAGGTCTGAACAGCTCTGGAGAAGAGGAACTCAATCACTGGACTGAAATGAAAGAGTCGAAAGGACAGCAAGTATGTAGATGGCACGCGTTACTGGAGTCCTGATGAATGGGGTAAATGAGCAGTCGCAATCCAAGGCAGCACGATTTCTGATTACAACATCACTGTTTTTACCTAGTCACCATTAGAAGACCTGTTCTTTCAAGAATCATATTCATCATTCTACCAAATGCTTTAAATGCTATGGAAAGAACATCTAATACTGATATAAATGAAGAAAAGATGTGTCTCTGGTAGAGCTTGTTTGGGAAACTGAGACACTTGCGTCCTCACTGTTCGACTAACAGTCCTCCAGGGATTTAACACCTTTTGTTTTAACGTTAATTTTACTTTACTAAAAGAGCCAGTAATTTCATGAAAAATCAAAATTATAAGTGATTTGGAAAATCAGAATTTTAGTTGCAACAATATTTTTCACCTTCCATATTATCCATAAAACATATTTTGGCTGGCCAGTCCCTGGCGTTTATAATGTTCTTTAATATGAAAAAGTAGTTTTCCAACTCTGTCATAAGTCATATCTAATGGTGAAGGGTTTCAATGACACTGAAAATTGTTTTCTTTCAGATATGTTCCCTTTGTGCACTTAGTTTCATTGTGCCTCAGTTCTCAGCAGCACTAAATCTAAGTGCAAGCAAGTATTCATTTTCATAAAGGAATTTTTAAAATATGTTATTTTTTAAAAAGTTAATTTCTTCATTTGCCTCTGCTTTTGCCTGATCCAAAGAGACCAAGTCACTGTACTGGTCCCTTGCAAGTCTTTAGACAGGTTGTACTGTAGAACTATGTAACTTTCTGTTGAAAGCACTTCCTGTATTCTTGTATTCCAATGTAGGAAGCTAATAGAGCAGGACTTTACTTTAAAATTTCTTTCAGTGATTGACTCTTTAAAATTGTAGTAATGTGAGAATACATTTTTTACAAACTGAAAAATACAATAGATAAAGCTGTTGAAATTGAAAACAATTCAAGTTAAAGAAAATTTTAATTATCTGCTCTTGAGTATTTAGTAACCAACTGCAAAAAGCAGGTAGCATTCAAAATAAGAAAATATTCTCTAAATCTTCACTCTTACTTCAATTTATATTTGTGATATAAATATTATCCAGTTCTCTGTTTGAATCAGAACATCATGTTAAAACACAGTTCTGAGATTCCTTATGAAGTTTCTAGTGACTTGTGACTAGATTTTATGAAATTTACAGATAACTTTCCTCAACGTGATGTCATCTTGTGCCTTTCATGTAAGTTATATTTGCTCATACAGCTTTAAAGTTGTATTTGCAAAATTAGGCCTTCGATTTTTATAAATATAAAGATTCCTCAACAGTGTCACAAGATTTATTTCCTCAAAAGTATGTAAAAGTTGTATAGTGTACTGACTTTTTAAATGGCAATGCACTTTCATTTGTTGTTGATATATTTAGGAACTCTGATTAATCAGGAATATTATAAGCTGTTTTCTTTTTAATTTTGCTTCTTACCTTATATATAATTTTATGCATATACTTTATTAGAGTATGTTTTGTATATATGAAAAATATTTTCTCTTTCTCATTTCTACTTAAACAAGACAGAAAACATACTATTTACCAATTGCTAAAAAGCAGTATATTGTTCCTAGTCCCAAACTAAGCACTATATATTATTGTAAGCTAGAATTTTTTATTACCATAATAACAAAACCCTGCATAGACATTATTACTTCAGCTTGGCTGTATGAAAGGCCTTAAAAGAAATCCAGAAAAACCATGAACTCCTATATTTTTTAGTTTAAAAAATGGCAGCTGTATGCATTCACATGAATTAAAAGAAAAAATACCAATGCTATATTGGGTGATATGAGGTTTAAGAATGTATGTTACAGAGTTGCATTACAGGGAAAAATCCATCCTTTTATTGTTACACCAATGAGCTTTTTCCTGGCTTTTTTATAAATGAGTTAGATTATAGGGTTAGAACATGAATCAGATGGTGAAACATCTCATGTAAGGATTTTCAGCAACAATATGGAAAAAGATTTGAAGAGGGGATATAGATTTGACTGAGAAATTGTACTTAGGCATTTGATGCTACAGTTCTCTTCTGCTTTGAAGCAGACTGCATTGCTAACAACGGGTATCTTCCTAATAAATGAGTTATCAGTCTTAATTGTAGCTGTAACAAAGCTTAATCAAACACATTAACAATACCAGCTTGGTGCTTTCACCTTTAGTGAGAAAAAGACCTAACTGTTACTTGTTAAATCTAACTTTCTTCAGACTGTGCCCAGAATTGTGTGTGAGATTTGATATCTCCTTAGGGTTTCATCTGTTATAAGTAGCAAATTTTACATGACCTAGAAATGAGTTGACATTTTTAGAAAATTTCAGGAAGGACCCTACCTCCACCCAGCTGCCAAGTCCTCAAAGATTATAAATTATCTTTCTGTGTATGTGCCTGTATACACAGACATATCTACACACGCACAACATACATGTGTATATGTACAAGTATGTGTGTATTTATTTGTAAAGGTGAAGGTGTCCTGGCTTTTTCAGATAACAGAATAGAAAAACATTTCTCAAGTTCTGGATTATTCTTCTCCTTTATATATTTACTAGATATTATATTTGGTTTGGGGTGCCATTTGCTGCCATTTTTCTCCACACACAGCAAAATATACTCCTTTTTTTCTGTAGATTGACACAAGTTAGCGTAATTACTCCCAAAAAATTGTCTATTCTTTTAGAAAGGAATTAAATAGGGCTCAAGAGACCCACTTCACTCTACTGAATCTAATGTACGAGACAGTACTGCTGCTTTTTTGTGTGCTTGAATTTGCATGAAAGCTTAAAGGCAAAATCTTATGTCTCAGTAATTATAGCAAATAGGGGCCCACTGGTGGGCAGCAGGTGTTGGTTCACAAACTTGAGAAAGACAACCCACTTTCTTATTGTTCTGTTAAAAATCCCGTAAATTTTATAATAAAATGAGATAGTCCAAATATGGCAACTGACTGGCATTTATGGGAGCTCCTAAGCCTGGAATTACAGGCTTCATTTGCCTCCCAGATGAGCTGCAAAATATAGTTATTGCTGCCGAGGAAACAAAGTGTACTTCAAATCAGTGAAGATTTTGTTTAGTACAATATCATCTCCTACAGAAGCTTTCTTCTGTAGTCGTGTGTCTTCAGTACTATCCACATTTTGTTTGAAACTATTTGCATGTTATCTTTCTATGCATTTTCAAGCTCAATAATCTTGTATTTGCTGACAGAAAATAAGAAACTGGACCACAATTTTTAAAAAGAAACCAATAAAAATTATTGAAACTCCCCTGAATGATACACACATATTGAAAGGTAGGGCCTGGTACGGCTGGAGCAAACCGCCCTACTACACATGCCCAGGGCTATATGTTCAATCATTTGCTTGATGCTATCATTATTTTCATTTCACTTGTCAAGCGAATTATAAGCATAATTAATGATTGCACAGTAAGACAGTATCAATCGGGGAAGAGGTAAGAGAATCGAGGATGTTCTTCAAGATGAAAATGGGTGGAGAGACAATGATATCACATTCTTTCAAGTGAACTGAAAAATAGGCTATTTGAAGGTGTCCATTTGAGATGGAGTGAGAACAGTAGTCACCAATAAATTCTTTTCAAGGTCCCTATCCAGGTACGAAGAAAGGACACAAGTTCATTTACATAATGTTGCTACTTGCCTACATAAACTAGACAATTCATAGAGATTTTTCACATTGATAGTTACTGTACTTTTTTATTTCATATTGATAGGTATTATTCAAAAGTTTTCATTCTTTTTTTTTCTGCCCACCATCTGCAGTTCATCTGTGGCCTACACTGGAGGTAGCCATCAGTATTACTACCACCAACCAAACTGAATACTGAGCACAAGGTTAAGCATGCTGCAAAGCATTCTCTAAAGTTAATTTTAAAACATCATCTCTGTCCTCCAAAATGTGTCATAATGATGACGGTAACAGTTATAGTTTACCGAGATATAGCACAACAATTTATTATTTTGTTTGATTCTCAGAACAAATACTATGAGATAATATTATCAACATTTTATTGATGAAGAAACTGCAGCTTAGAGATTTTAAATAGACTTTCTCAGTGTCATCCAGTAAGTGGTACAACTGGGATTAGAACCCAGGTATAAATGACTCTAAAATCCATACTATGCATATTGCAGTTACATAGGGAAAAAAAAAGGACAACATTATATTCATCAATAATCCCAATAATCCCAACCCACCTTAATTGAATGGCAGGACCAGGAAAAACAAAACAAAACAAAACAGAGCTCAGGAAGGAAAAAAGACAAAGAAAAGAAGACCCAAGATTTTTTTCTTCATAGGACACAAATGGTTCTTTTGTGTCATACTTTGTAGATGACTTTGATTATCAAAGACTTGGGACTAATTTACTCTGCCTGTTTAGCCTTTACTTATATTCTGAAAGTGTATTCATCAATTTGTTCTGCTCCTTGACCTCTTTTGGGAATCCAAGGTATTTTAATTATATATGACCGTCCTTCTAGCCTGTGAAGGGGATAGCCTGTGTCAGTTAGCCCATATCTTACCCATATCTGTGAGAAGACAGACTCTGGTCTTCCTCTGAATTCTCATTGCAATTTATGTGTGTTTCTTCTATACCCTTTATTTAGGTTTGATGGCAGTTGCAGATAGTTTTATTACATATATCTCTCTTTCCCCCTGTATAGTAGTAAATGCCTATCTTATTGTCTTAAGTGACCCTTTGCTCATAGTAGGCACACGGTAAATACTGAATTGAACTAAATTCCCCGTGGAAGAAATTAACATACTGTTATATCAGTGTCGGTTTTTATGAATCTTGTGTTATGCATGGATCTATATGTTCATTTAATGTCTGGGTACCAACTATGTGCCATGTGTTTGAAGTGCTGCAGATGCAGAGATAATAAATTAGATAGACAACGTGTTTGCCCTTATGGGGCTTGCATTCTGTGTAGGAAGAGAGCCACAGAATGGTGGAATTCCTTCCTAAGATAATGAAGTTTTAAGATGGAGGCATGTGTAGAGTACTGTGGGATTTAGTAGAGTTATCTTCTCGGAGAAGATAACGCAGAGTTTTGGGTCTTAAAGAATGAATACAGGTTAGTCTCCCATCACACTCCAGGACACATGTTCTTTCCAAGGGCAAAATATAAAATAGTGGTTCCCACACCATAGCATGCTTAAGAATCATCTTGAAAGCATAACTTGTATTACAAAACTCCTCCTCCAGAGATCCTGTTTCATTTGGTCTGGAGGGGAGCCCAAGAATCTACATTTTTATGCAGCTGTTCGGGACATTATATCTGAGATATATTGGTATAGAGTATTGAGCTCATTACATAGAATTATTGATGGCAAAGCATCAGTGCCTTTGGATTAGATCTTCAAGTGTAATAGTGATAAATAAGAGAGATTAAGACTAGGATAAATGTTATTGATATTTTTTCTTGTGCTTCCTAAAAAAGAAAGATATTTAATGAAAAAACTAAAAAGTAATGTTTAATAATGAATTTCTGTACATTCACATTCATATCACTTTTTCAAAGTGTTCCTTGATATGGTAAATAAATTCTTTTATGTTGGTTCTATGACTCCTGAAAATTCCTTTCAATTATTATTCAAATATTTCCTTCTAAGCTGTCTTTACAATGATAGATATAAGGCGAGGAGAGTCTGAGGAGATATTTATGTAGTAACTTCTCTGTCAGTATTCTAAATTAGATAAGACTGGCCTTTAAGCAAATGTATAGAAGCAGCCACAGGTTGTGGCGTTTTTGCATTCTTGTGCATAGAACGATTTCTTGCTTCTCTTTGTCATCATCCTAAGTGACTTCATTGCCATCACACTCAACAGATGAACTTCAGTCTTGGGTTCTTCGCTAGGAACTACAATGTTTCTATCACGTCGGCTCTAACCTCTATTTTCTTCATTGCTTTGTTTTTCCTTACAGTCCTGTATCTCAAACAGAAAGTTAATACAGCAGCCTCAGGACCGCCACTTTCTCTCAAAATTAATGCTATGGATAAGATCCATCTGAGTTTCTGTTTCCCCTCATTTCAGAGGCAGCTATCGTTACTTCTCAGATATACTTTTTGCATGAATATATTTTACATTTTGAAATTTTTCTGTTTCCCCACAAAGATCTGTGATACTTCTTCTGTAAAATGAGGTTATTTGAATATTTGAAATAATATTGTTATGGAATTAGGCTGTTTTATGATGATGTATCACTGTGTTTGATCTGGTCATAGTTTGAAATCTGGTCAATATCCTAAGGTGATAGAGTTTGAGAGACTGGAATTATTAGTCCATTACCAAAAATGAATGTAAAAATCTTGCTGCTCTCTCTGTTTAGACTAGTACGTATCTCCTTTTTTTTCTTTCTCCCAACCAGTACAGGGGTGTGAACCCATGACCTTGGTGAAATAAGGTTGTGGAAAGTATGTATCTTCTTAGAAATGTTTCTTCTTCCTCCTTACATTTTTGCCCACTCTTATTCATATACATTCACACTAGGTACCAGAGTTAGCTCATCAGTGTCGAATAATATCTATCAAAGAGTGATACCCTGACTTTTTTTCTTTTAATCGCATAAACTGGACAGTCAGGAGGACCAGACAAGCTTTCTCAGAGACTACAGAAAGAGCAAAGCATAATACTCTTTAATCATAACAGGTTTGTTGCTGCCGTTGTGACAGTCGTGATTGTTGTTGCTGTATACTTATCTTGAATAGTGTGAAGTATCCTGAAATCATGTCGTATAGGCTGGAGCAGAGAAGGAAACCGATTATTAATCTAACAAAAGTTTGGCATAATTTTATTGTAGAATTTCAACCTCTTAGTACATAAAAATTTCTAAATAATTATTAAAAAGTCACTGCTGTGGCAATAGTTGTGAAGATGTTTGACATTATTTCAATGTCAGTTTGTCTGTCTGTATCTTAAATTGTCTTATTACATTAGGACCCTTCACCCTCTTCTTTATTATTCCGATTTTTAGTAAATCTAGTTTGTACTATTTGATATTTGAGTTTGTCTTTCAAATATTCAAGACTCCTTTGTAAAGGAAAACCTTGATACCTTCCTGTTCATTTCTTAAACATGTGATCTCTCACCTGACAATGTGTTTAAAGTGAATACCCAATAGATAAGATGTAATACTTCACTATACTGAAAAAATAATTTTCCAAAATTTGTTTATATATATTCAGATATTGCTAAAGTGCTTATTTTCATAAATCTAAGCAATTTTTTTTAGCAATTACTATTAACACGACTATTTTGTTCAGTGAGAAAATAGGAATTTTCCCTTATCTCTGAGGTTTGATTCTCTTTGCAATTCACATCTGGTTGAAGGGGGATGGCCGTGAACCTCTCCACGACACTTCGTTTGTCAGTTCCTGAGCTTGCTAACCTCCTCCTGATGGCATCATTATTAGCAAAGACCAAATCATTTGTACCCTTAGGGGTAAGTCCTCATAGTGATTCCTGCTCATAACCCCCACTGATGAAAGTAGTACATGACCACCAGTAGGAGAAGAGGTCCCTAAAGTGTAAAGGATCAGGATCTCAGAGCCCTGATGTAAGATGACACTTTCAATACCTGAATGTCATTTCAGTTATAATGGAGTAGAAGCCAGTTTCTTGGAAATGAGGAACTTTGAGTCATTATGTCATATTCTCTTCCATTGGTCTTTGCCTTTCTCCCCGTAACTAGCTTGCGCATTCTTTTTATTTTAAATTTCTTGAGAGTCTTTTTTTAAGAACACTGGTTTTTAAAATTTTACATTTTGCTTTAACCAGGCGATTTCAAAAAATAGAAAACTGAAGTAAATATAGAGTCAAGGAAGTTTCGTGGGTTATTTTTTATTTTGTTTTGTTTTGTTTTTGGTGGGAGGGAAGAGGAAATGGTGCTTGTTTTTGTTGGTGCAGATTTTTTTGGATTAATAGTAGAAATATTTACAATATTCTACAGTTAAGTCACATGATGTTGTGTCAGGGGAGACCAAGGTAGCTTTTGCACATAAATTGGCTCTCTTAGTATTTAAGTATATTTGAACAATTATTTGAAGCACAGCTAGAAATTAATGGAGATATCTCCAACAGTATTTTGATATTATAAATACTATTTTAAGTTTACCAAAAAAAATTCCAGTAGCACTTGCATTACAAAATTGATTTATGTTTCTGCATAATTTTATTGAGATGACTTTTGTTTTTATGGTGAAAAT